TTTGAGAGCTGTTATCCCACCTCCTTGCTTGGTGCCCTGTGAATAAGCCTTTTCTCTTTTGCAAAACTCATGTCACGGTGATTAACTTACTGTGTGTGGGCAGAATGGACCTGGTCCTGGCCAGTAACACCTGCAAGGCTTTCTGGGAGTCTGCACTGCCAAGACAGCACTGAGCAAAGGTTGGGAGCGGTCTGTCTAAATGACTTTTCTCTTTTTTCCAGGCTGGGCATAGTTTCTCATGCCTGTAATCCCAACACTTTGGGAGGCCAAGGCAGGCAGATCACTTGAGGGCAGGAGTTCAAGACCAGGTTGGCCAACGTGGTAAAACCCTGTCTCTACTAAAAATACAAAAATTAGCTGAGCATGGTGGCATACGCCTGAAATCCCAGCTACTCAGGTGGCTGAGGCACGAGAATCGCTTGAGCCTGGGAGGCAGAGGTTGCAGTGAACCCCGAGATTTTGCCATTGCACTCCAGCCTGGGTGACAGAGGCTCAGTCTCAAAAAAACAAACAAAAAATATCATTTTATTTTTTTTCTATAAATTAACAAATACAACCTCTTGTGAGTTGTTGATGTGAGTCAGACCCAAAGAAAATGATAAATCCTGAAATGTGGACCAAATTAGTTGGGTTTTTTTTTTTAGACCAAGTTTCCCTCTTGTAGCCCAAGCTGGAGTGCAATGGCGCAATCTCGGCTCACTGCAACCTCTGCCTCCCGGTCTCAAGCGATTCTCCTACCTCAGCCTCCCGAATGGCTGGGATTACAGGTTCATGCCACCAGTCCCAACTAATTTTTGTATTTTCAGTAGAGACAGGGTTTCACCATGTTAGCCAAGGTAGTCTTGAACTCCTGACCTCTAGTGATCTGCCCACCTCGACCTCCCAAAGTGCTGTGATTACAGGCGTGAGCCACTACTCCCGGCCCCAAATTAGGTTTTGAACTTGGAAGACAGGCTGAGCCCTGGGCCAGAGTCCTGACAGCTCCTCCTTGGGCCTCTGACTGAAGGCACCCAGAGGTGAGGATAAGGCAGCCATTGCCTTCACTGAGTGTCTACCTCCTTTCAAAACTTTAACATGAATATCTGAATTTCTCATCTTTCCTTAATCTTTTTTTTTCCAGTTAAAAATTGTTAGGCCGGGCGCGGTGGCTCACGCCTGTAATCCCAGCACTTTGGGAGGCCGAAGCGGGTGGATCACGAGGTCAAGAGATCGAGACCATCCTGGTCAACATGGGGAAACCCCGTCTCTACTAAAAATACAAAAAATCAGCTGGGCATGGTGGCGCATGCCTGTAATCCCAGCTACTCAGGAGGCTGAGGCAGGGGAATTGCCTGAACCCAGGATGTGGAGGTTGCGGTGAGCCGAGATTGCGCCATTGCACTCCAGCCTGGGTAACATGAGTGAAACTCCGTCTCAAAACAAAAAAAAAATTTTGTTATGACTGGCCAGCTGTCATGGCTTCCATCTGTAATCCCAGCACTTTGGGAGGTAGAGGTGGGAGGCTCTGTGTCACAGTTCCCTCCGGATATCATGTCTGCATTCCTTTTGTCTCCTACCCCATCCCATTCCAGCTTCCACGAGACCTTTGGAAAGAGCTTTAGCAAACACTTATTTGACCCTGTCCTTGTGTGAAGCTTTTTATGATTCCTCACTGGCCAGAGGCTAAAGTACGACTCATCGAACTTTGTTTTCCAAGCCTTACCCCCACTCCTCCAGGCTGCCTCTTCTACCTGCACACTTTTAGACCCCTCTTTGGGCTCCCACCTTGGCCCCTTGGCTTCTGCTCATGCTGTTCCTGCCTCATCTTCTTTGCCTGGTGCCCTTCCTGGTCTTTTGGCATTTGGCAAAATGAGACTTCCTCTCCAGTGAGACTTCCCTGACCACCCCAGGCCTGCTCCAGGTCAGGTGATCTCTCTGAGCATCTCGGCCCCAGTGCTTCCCTTCGGGGGAATGCCCACTGGATTGAGCATGTATCATAGATGAGAGGGGATCTGGTGAAAAGATGTCTGAATCAGGATCAGCCTTGGTCTCTGTGGGAAGTAAAAGTTCCTCTTCAAAATTTCCTTTCTTGTTAAAGAATAAATCATGAGTATGCTAATAACTCTTTGTTAAGCCCTATCCTATGTACCTGTTAGACATGCTTATAGGCACATAGTACATTCTATCTCCTTGTTCTTTAGCCAGAATAGCCGTGCTAGACGTGCCCACAGGCACGTCCCAGCTCACAGCCCATGCCCCTTCCTTATTTGAACTTCTCCATTGCTTTTACCTGTTTAGGTAAGTTTGAAGTTGTTAGCCAATCGGGTTATTTAAATAGTGAGGTCTGGCCCCAGCCAATGGGGATTGAACACAGCAGTAAGGACAACCCCAAATGCGTAAGGGATAAATGTCTGCTTTTCCTTTGTTTGTTGTACTCTCATGGAAGGTGGCTAGCAAGGCTACCCTTCCTGCAGTGCAGGAAGTAAAAATTGCTTTGCTGAGAAGTCCCTCGTCTCGGTGTTGATTTTTCTTTGCCGCACCGAGCGTCTGTTTTCAACAGTCTCCTAGGTCGGTCTCCTCACTCTGTAGTGATGCTGTATCCCACAGGTGGTGTACAGGGCTGGTTCATGAACCTCCTTGCAGGAAGGGAAGTGCCTGGGTATTTCCTGGCCCTCTCCCATGCCTCCTCATAACCTTGATCCCTGTCTTCTCTACACCCCACTCCCTGAAAACTGGCTTGTCCATGCCCCACACCTGGTCTCAAACTTGTCACCTGTCCCTGCCCTCTTCCCTCAGGACTGTCATATTTTCCTGTCGTGTGTCTCAGACCTTCTGATATCTGAGTCATCTAATAAACAAACCGCTAATAATACAAGATCATGACAGACAGAGACTCTTGGTCGGCCTGACTTTCAGTGGAGACTCCTTTAAGTATGCACACTTATACAGAATTTTATACGTGTGGTTGAAATTGTACATATAAACCTACACTTTTTTTCTTTCATGTTTTGGGGGCATGGGGGAGCCTGGGTCTCACTCTGTCATCTAGGGTGGAGTGCAGTGGCATATTCATAGCTCACTGAAGCTTCGATCTCCTGGGCTCAAGCGATCTGCCTGCCTCAGCTGCCCAGGCACAGACCATGGCACGGCACTTGTAATTTTTTTTTTTGTTTTTTTTTTTTAATAAAGAAGGGAATCTTGCTATGTTGCCTAGCCTGGTCTTGAATTCCTGAGCTCAAGCAATCCTCCCTTCTTGGCCTCCCAAAGTGCTGAGATTACAGGTGTCAGCTACTTTGCCTGGCTACAATTTCAGTCGTATTTACAATGTACAATTCAAGTGATTTTGCCACACTGACCACACTCATGTTTAAGCCACATCAACAGATTTCCATGTTTTAAATAACATATCTTGCCACCCTCTGGTGGATAGTGGCTCACCACCGGCTCAAGAGGCTACACAGGCAGTCAGTGTGGACCAGCTGGGGATGGGGAAAGTCGAGAATCCAAAGGTCACTGCCCAGCCCCACCAGAGCCCGCACGTGTAATTAGATCTCGTGATTGCCCAAGAGAAGCACAGATTTCCATAGGGAACATAAAATTGCCTGACTTTGAAATAGTGGCAAATCAATCAAAAATACTTTTAAGCTCCCGTTGCATTGATTATTAGGGTCGAGACTGGGGAAGACTCCTATAGGCGCGTGTGTGTCTGTGTGTGTTTGGGATGTTCAGACCTCTAATTGGGCTAGGAACCAGGCGACCACAACGCGGAAAGCTTGAGGAGAGGGAAATCTACCCGGCGCTGACCAGGTGGGTCCAGGAAGGGACCAGGTGGGGCCACGACGCAGTGAAAGACTTGTAGTGGGTGGGGCTACACTTAGTGTGTGGGGGGGGTTCAATGGGACTTCCGGAAATCTGGGCCGACACACGTGACTTTTGTTTGCGGAAGCGGGATGTACCCTAGGCAGCCAATCGGGGAGCGCCGAGTCTCTGTCCAGCCAATAAGAATCCAGGTTGCTGCGGCGCCACGCCCCTGCGCCGGGTCCGCGACGCTTGGGTACTCCGAGATTTTTCTCCGCCCGAGTTGGTTTCGTTCACTCTGCCCGCCATGCCGTTCCTAGAGCTGGACACGAATTTACCCGCCAACCGAGTGCCCGCGGGGCTGGAGAAACGGCTCTGCGCCGCCGCTGCCTCCATCTTGGGCAAACCTGCGGACGTGAGCGTGGGGCGGGCAGCACCGGGTGAGGGGAGGTTGGCGGGCCAGGGGTCCGGGCCTGTCCCTGACCGCGACCCCGTCCCATGTCTCTAGGGACCACACCCCCTCTCATTCCTCACGCCAAGCTCGGACTTTACGTCCTCCACCATCCCGCTGCTCCCCCTCCGCAAGGCTTTCCCTAGTCGCCCTCCCCAGTCATGACCCGGACATGACCTCCAGGGACCTCCGCCTGTACCGGGATTCCTGACCCCGCAAACACTGCGCGTTTCGGCTTTTGTGCGCTCGGGTCCGGTCCCCAGCGGTAGCCCGGCCCGCCCCAGCTTCGGGCAAAACTTTCCGTGTCTCCCTCAGCGCGTGAACGTGACGATGCGGCCGGGCCTGGCCATGGTGCTGCACGGGTCCACCGAGCCCTGCGCGCAGCTGTCCGTCTCCTCTATCGGCGTCGTGGGCACCGCCGAGGACAACCGCAGCCACAGCGCTCACTTCTTTGAGTTTCTCACCAAGGAGCTAGCTCTGGACCAGGACCGGTGCGTAGGGGCAGTAGGGGATCCGTTTGGGACTACCGCAGACTGGAGTCAGTGATCCTGCCTCAGGGGGAAAATCCCGTTTCTTGCCCTGCCCAGTAGGGACACATCGGGGCGTGAGGCCCCTCACCTGAGGTTTGTGAAGAAATGAACCTCAGGGTCCTTATCGTAGGACCATCTTCAAAGTGCAGTGCGGGCAGGATTGAATGAATTCCTGGCTCTGCTCCTCAATGTTTAAGTCTGTGAATGGGGAAGGCTCTTTTAACTATTCCCTAGAGGCATTGCAAGGGTCATAGGGGATTGTCTGTCCTGTATCTGCCTTGGCGAGTGGCAGGGTAGGTACACCTGGCTGAAGAGTGATTTTCCAGAACTTTTTCCAGAAAAATGAGCCAGGCTGGTCAGAAGGAATTCTGGGTATGTTCTGAGGTTATGTCCTTTGGACCTATGTCCCAACCAGGTTCCAGGTGAGGTTCACGGGGACTCAGAGTAGTGAAAGAGCATTGGCCTGGATGTCTAGACGTCTGCTTTGGGTCCTGCATAGCTGGGGGACCCCAGACAAACTTGGAAATGAACCATCTCGTTAGCAACCTCCTCTTCTGTGAAAACAGGGAAATGGCGTCCCTCCCCCGCAAGAAGCCTCTACAACCCAAACCTGTCGTTCTGTGACAGAGTTAAAATTTTCCTCTTGGGTAAAAGATATTCTTGAGCCACGTCCATGCCTCTGAGGAAGTAAGGGCATGAGGAGCTTGAAAGGACACTGGCCAGGTACGGTGGCTAATGCCTGTAATCCCCACACTTTGGGAGGCCAAGGCGGGAGGTTCACTTGACCCAGGAGTTGGAGACCAGTCTGGGTAACATAGTGAGACGCCGTCCTCCCAGAAAATGTTTAAAATTAGCCAGACATGGTGGTGTGCACCTGTAGTCCCACTTACTTGGGAGGCTGAGGTGGGAGGATGGCTTCAGCCCAAGAGGTTGAGGCTGCAGTGAGCTGTGATTGCGACATTGCACCCCAGCCTGGGTGGCAGTGAGACCCTGTCTCAAAAAAAAAAAAAAGAAAAACACCTTCTGGAGTGGAGACTTTGTTAGTCCATGAAGGCCGATGAAGTATGGCTGAACCTGATGTGTCCTCTCTCAAGCTCTAGAGAAATAATAGCCAGCCCTCTGTATCACTGGGTTCCGTAGCTGTAGGTTCAAACAACCATGGATTGAAATATCAAAGAAAAAAATGGGTAGTTGCATCTATACTGAGAATATGTACAGACTTTTTCCTTGTCACTATTCCCTAAACAATACAACTAGTACATACATTCGATTAGGTATTGTAGGTAACCCAGAGATGATTTAAAGGATGTGAGAGGATGTGTGTAGGTTATATGCAAATATTACACCATGTTACGTAAGGGACTTGAACACGTGTCGATTTTGGTATCCTCTGGGGATCCTAGAACAAGTACCCCATGGATACTGAGGGAAAACTGTTATTCTAAGAACAAGTATTAAAAATGCTTACCATGGGCCGGGCGCGGTGGCTCATGCCTGTAATCCCAGCACTTTGGGAGGCCGAGGCGGGTGGATCACGAGGTCAAGAGATCGAGACCATCCTGGTCAACATGGTGAAACCCCGTCTCTACTAAAAATACAAAACATTAGCTGGGCATGGTGGCGCATGCCTGTAATCCCAGCTACTCAGGAGGCTGAGGCAGGAGAATTGCCTGAACCCGGGAGGCGGAGGTTGCGGTGAGCCGAGATCCTGCCATTGCACTCCAGCCTGGGTAACATGAGTGAAACTCTGTCTCAAAAGAAAAAAAAAAAAAAAAAAAAGAAATGCTTACCATGTGCTGGGTGCCTTACAGGTACTTTACACTCATGAGCCCGTTCCATCCTTACTGTCCCTGTCCACACTATCTTTGCTCAGACAAGACATGCTATCCCCATGAGGTAGATATCTCCATTAGGCCAGTTTTATAATGGGAAGACGGAGGCTATTCATACTCCCCCTGCCCCCAGCCAGGCTATCCCAAGCTCTGGTACTTCTTGCTGGAATCTTGCTGTCACCTCTGAGAAGGTCATGTTCACTTATGGCACGGGCATTAGTGGCTGGGGTTGGCGGGGGGTCACTCTGTGCCCAGGCTTTGAGAAAACAGGTGGCTGAGGCGTGTGCCTGTAGAGAGCCTGCAGTTAGGAGGAGGCAGGCTGCCTCTGAGCCCATACCCAGACTGATGGAGATGATGGAGTGTACAGTAATCACACTGAGGCCGCTGCTGAGTGTCTGTCCTAGGTGGGCCATGCTGGTGTACAGCCCCCATCCCACAACTGAGTGTCCCACTGCCCTGCTGGAGGCTGGGGGAAGATCACTACTGGGATGAGTAGACTTGCAAAATGTGTGGTGGGCTGAGGCAGACTGTCGTGGGTACCCACAGTTGGGAGTACCTGACAGGGGTCTTGTAAGGTGTGGTGTTAACCAAGGGGCTGATAATATCTTTTTCTGTCTCCTGAAGGATAGTTATCCGCTTTTTTCCCCTGGAGCCCTGGCAGATTGGCAAGAAAGGGACGGTCATGACTTTTTTATGATTGGCATGGAGGGATCCAGCATGGAGGGATCCAGGGCATCTCTGAGCTGGCTGCCCCTTCCAGGGAGACCTCTTGGCAGAGTGAGGGCCTGGTGATACCAGCTTCGGATAATCCTGCATGCAGCATTCCTGTGATCACATAATCCTCTTCTTCATCTTTATACGAAATAAATGAAGAGAGCTTCCTTGTTCAAACATGACTTCTTACCTCCTATTATCCCTCCTGGGCATCCTGGGCCACCATGGGCAGCAGGGCTGGGGGATAAAGAGACCGTATGGAACCTGGAGAGGGATGTTTTCCATCTTCAGGGCTGCTGTCTGCTATGTTTAGACTGCTCAGATCTGGGTGTGGAAGCCTCAGCCTGGAGGCTCTGCTGTCTACACCCATGTGCAGGCCTTTGGGAAGATGTGGGCAGCTGGTCCAGCTGGGGCCTTCCTGCAGACTGCTGACCTGAGCTCCTGTCCTCAGCCCCCAAATGGGACCAGAGCTCTGTTCTCCTGAAGCCTACTCCCTCCTTGACTGGCTGGGTGGCCTGCTAATCTCCTCTCCCCTTTGCCCCACCTCTGTGGAGTGTGGGCAGGAATTGCCTGTGTCCCTTTGGGGTTGGTCACCGGTTTTCCAAAAGGCAGGGTCCCCCGTCTGCCCCTCATCCTCCTCCACAGGGTTGCAAGTTCTGACTCCCACCCTTTGGCAAGGCTCCAGCCCTCCTAGCCGGCATCATCCCTTCCTGGCAGTAGCAATGGCTTTCGCAACCTTTCAGCCCAAGGGCCCCCTGGCCAGGAGGAAGGCCGAGAGGACACACGGCAGGCCTGTAAGGTTTCCTGTGTCTTTTCTCCTGTTGCACCTGTGCCTCACTTACACTCACACACTCAGACACACAACCACATACATTCGCGCACACATCCTCCCACGTCCACAGTCACATGATAGTCACATTCACACACACACACACACACACACACCCCCAGATACAAAAGCATACCATTTACTCACATCCATAGTCACACGGTTCATACACGCGCAGTTTACTGACATTCACACACACGTACCACACACAGGCAATTCAGTCACATGGCCAAAAGCCAGTCCTCACCTTGCTATGGTTCCCTTCCCAGTGTTGCCTCAGCCTTTGGCCCTCAGTTTCCCCTTCCCATGCCTGGACTGCTGGAGAGTCTTGAACACACCCCCATCTCATGCCTCCAGCACTCGCCCAAGCCCTTCCCTCTGCCAAGAGCACTAAGTGGAATTCAGGGTCACTTCGTGGGACCCTTCCCTGCCCCTCCTCCTGCCAGGTGACCTGGGGATCCCGCCGGCCCTACTTAACGATGATGCACGGTATGATTAGTTCAGCGGAGGTCACTCTCCCGGACTTACTGCCACCTGCACAGCACCGGGACTGACTGTTGAGCTTTGTTTCGTATACTATACTGAAGTGTCTGTAGAAAGCAAGACCATCCAATTAGGAACAATCCAAAAGCAGCCAGTGTGGATCAAGAAGGCACAGGCTGTGGCCGCCATCCCCAGTGCCTGATAGGGGAGCAGGGTGGTAATGGAAAAGGCCCAGGAAAGCAGGCCACAGTGTCCCCGAGAAGTACTGGAAATCACTGAACGAGAGACAGCCAGAATGGGACCTAAGAAGCCACCACAGGCGCCCTCAGGGCAGGACAGTTGCAATGGTTGCTGCTTGAAGTACTTCCGGCTAGGAGTGGCACATGGTGGGCACAGGGCAGGCATGGGAAATGGGGGGCACTGGGCGGTAGCCCAGAGCGTGTGCAAAACATCCTGTTTATTGGTTGGCAGTGACATCTATTGTCACATCTGAGAACTGCATCCACAGCCACATGGCCTCCTGTGAAGACCTCAGGGCAAACTGCGCAATCCTGCCTTTGGAAGGTGATGCCAGGGGGCGAAGCGACCCCTTCCTTGGAGCTTTGAAATCCTCAGAGCCCCTCCAGCATCTTGGTTTTCCTAATTCCAATGTCCTCCCTTGATCCCCCAGCCCTAGGGGTAGCAGCTTCTTGCCGTGTTTACCTCTGAGTTAACCTGGATTTTCTCTGTCTTTGGAGTTCTCTAATGCCTGGTTACCAATTCTGTGTGTTAAGTTCTCTGTTAAAATAATTGTGGTGGGGTCCATCCCATGGATATATGTGGAGGCCTGTGTGACAAGGTATAATCCTACTGTTTGCTGTTATTACAAAACTGTCCTAGAAGGTAGGAACGTTTGTTAAAAGGTATCTTTTAAGCCTCCTAGACTTCAAAGACTGTTGCTGTGTCCTGTGAAACATTGCCTGTATCCTTTAATAGTTTGCAATTCGAATTGGTTACTTATTTAATTTTTTGTTGCCCCGGTGATACAGTTGTGTTTACTTGTTATCTGTGACGTTACTTTGGTTAACCATGATGCAGATTACTAGCACATACTTTCACTCTAATAAAACCAATAACTTTTGGTTCCCTATTCAAAGTGTTCGGAATCTTTATTTTATTTAAAACACTGATGACATTTGCCAATTTTTGATTGCTTTCTTCATGTTGTTGATTTGTAGGAGCTCTTTATATATTGCAGATTTAGTCTCCTATTGGTTATGTATGCTGCATTTGAGGAGTGGCAGCACTGCCAAGGACACTGAGTGTCCTGCCTGTGCAGAGCTTCACCGGAAGCTGGAGACAAGGAACTGACGCAAGATGGAAAGATAAAAAGAGGCAAGTAAGAAACAGAATTAATCCCCAGTGCTGATCTGGCCCCTATCCCAGACCCTTCAGGGAATCCTGGCAGTTTGAAGCAGCATAGTCGGATAGGCCTCTGCTGGGGGTGTTGGGAGGGTTTTTTTGGCCTCCTTTTCCAGGATGCTCAAGATGAGGCTGTGGGCCTCCTGGCACAGTTCGGCACCCAGGAAAGCCTCCACTCATCCACGCCATGCTGCCAGTCGTGGCTGTCCCTCAAACAGTTCATAGCCGACAGCCACCGGCTACAGGGACAAGGATGGGAAAGTTGTGGGGGCGCTAAGGCCCGAATGCCGAAAGCATAGGCAAAAGTATCAGACACATGGTCCATTCCCCAGCCCGCATGTGAATGGACCACAGGGGCCCAGGTAGTGTGGTCATCCTTAGGGCCCCAGAGCAGCCAAGGCGAGACCCTACACCCAGGCAGGAGGTGGAAGCTCAGGGTTCTGGCCCCAGATCATTCAGAGACTTGCTCTATGATTCTGGGAAAGTCCTGGTTTTCTCTAGGCCTCAGCGTTTCTGTCTGCCTCATCGGTGTGGCACAAAGAGGGACACTGCCCACAGGCTGAGCTCACACCTGCATCAGCTCCTCCAGCGCCATGAGATCAGCCAGCATCACCTGCTGGCCAGCAAGGAAGGCCCTGTCCCCCAGGAACTTGTCCTCTAGCCACTGCAGTGTGTAATCCACCTGTTGTGTTCCACCTTCTCCTTGGGCACCTGGACCCCAGTGAATGGCCCCAGCACCTGACGGGGCCAGAGAGTGGGTCAGTCTGTGGCCCCTGTCTACTCCCAGCTATTCTCTGATGGCCAAGCACTCTCCACATGGCTCGCCTCACCCAGGTCCACAGGAGTACACCAAAGGTGCCACAGACGCAGTGGCGTGCCAGCCCAGATACTCATGAACACGGGCACGAGCCTGCAGGTCAGACAGATATCGGTGGTCCACTGTCTGGTACTTACAGCTCAGGTAAATCAGGATGGCTGAGCTGGGAATGAGTGGGCAGTGGCAGTGCCAGTGCCTTTACCCCCAGTGGGGCCCAGGGGCTTCTCTGCATTTGAAGGACTGTCCTCCAGCCACAGCCTCCATCTAGCTCCTCGGCACCACCCCTCCTCCCCTGAGTCTCTTGTCTTTGTTGTCGTGGGCACCAACTCTTGGCTGGACCTTCTGCTTTACATTTTGAGAACCTCATCTCTGTGATACCCCAGCAGCCGCCCTGTGAGGTAGAGACTCTTGTTAGCTCTTTAGCACAAGAGAAAACTCAAGGTCAGAATGGTCAAGTGACGTGTGCGAGGCAGTGCAGCTCAGAAAAGACTCCCGGGACCCCTGGAACCCTGCATGGGGCCAGCACACAGTGGATGCTCAATGGAGTGCCTTGCATGTCCATGCGCATCGTTCAGGGATCAGGAGGGGAAGCACATCTTCCGCCCTCCTCTGACAGGTCCCCCGCCATCATTTCTGCAGCTAGCTGACCTCGTGTTCTCTTCCTGCCTGGTGGCTGGACCTCACCAGGAGCTGTGCCTTCGGGCCATGGCATTGGCCTCCAGTCCTGGCCTGGGCAGATTGGGGTAGTCTGAGAGAAGTCAGTAGAGGCTCTTCAGCTTGCATTTATTGAACCTACTCTGTACAACACTGGAAAAATGTCCCCTTCTCCTCTTTTCCAATACCCTTCAGTCTGGGAGTGGAGGGGCACTGGGGCTCAGAACAGGATGAAGACAAGAGGTTCTTGGACAGGCTGTGTCAGCCCCTGCTCATCCCGGACACACCCCAAGCTGTTTGTGCTCCCCAGGTCCCCCTCCTTTCCCCTCCCTGCCCATGGGGTATGAGCCAGGGCCACGTGTTGCTTTTCGGGGGCCCAGTGCCATAGACCCTACCTGGTTTCAGGCCTCGCCCAGACCCAGAAACGACGGGGCCCTGCCATCCTACAAAGGCCCCAGTGCAGGGACATCGGAGGGTTCTTTTAGAGCTTTGTTTCTCCAAGCTGCAAGGCAGCAGGAGGGAGGAAGGGAGGGAATGGGATCCTCTACAAGGGATCTTAGAGTTTCATCCAGCGGGATGTGACAGACTGTGTCCTGCAGAGCAGCTGCTGCCAGACAGCAGGAGCTCCCTTAGTGCCCAGGATGGGGAGGGCGCCACAGCCGCAGGGGGCAGGAATGACTACTTTGTGGGAACCTCCTTTCCTCTCCCTGGATCCCGGCCCTGGCATCTCACCAGGGGGCGCAGTGATGGGCCACGGCTGGGCCTGGGACCCTGGCTGAATCTTTCAGAGTATCCCATCCCTCTGGCCAGTGCCTCAAGCGAGCCAACCAGAATGCTTCCTTGGGAGTTTTGAAATTGGAACTCGACAGAGGAGCTCCCTACGGGGAGGTAAGTGGGAGCTGGGGCCCACCTGTAGTGGCATTTCGTGAGTTGACCGAGTAGGCTAGTCTGAGAGAGAAAAGCTGACTCAGAGAAAGACAGTGATAGCCAGGCTGGTGGCCCACACCTGCAATCCCAGCTGCTCAGCTCAGGAGGCTGAGACAGGAGGATCACTTCAGGCCAGGAGTTGGAGATCAGCTTGGGCAACATGGTGAGACCTTGCCTTGCTGTCTCTGTCTCTATCTCTCTCTCTCTTTTTTGTTTTTGAGACAGTCTGGCTCTGTTGCCCAGGCTGGAGCACAGTGATGTGATCTTGGCTTACTGCAGCCTTCATTTCCAGGGCTCAAGTGATCCTTCCACCTCAGTCTCTTGAGTAGCTGGGACTGCAGGCATGCGCCACTGTGCCCGGCTAATTTTTGTATTTTCTGTAGAGACGTTTCACCATGTTGCCCAGGCGGCTCTGGAACTCCTGGGCTCATGCGATCAGCCCACCTTGGCCTCCCACAGGGCTGGGATTATAGCCATGAGCCACCGTGCCGGGCCCAAAGTTTTGGTGGTTTTTTTGGTTTCTTTTTTGTTTTTAATTAATGGGGTATGGTGGGGTGCACCTGTAGTCTCAGGCACTCCAGAGGCTGAAGTGGAATGACTGCTGGTGCACAGGACTTGGAGGTTGCAGTGAGCCATGATCATGCCACTGCACTCCAGGCTGGGTGGCAGAGCAAGATGCCATGTCAAGAAAGAGACAGAGAAAGAAAAGAAAAAAATGTGGGGAGAAAGAGATCCAGTCTCAAAGAAAGAAGGGAGGGAGGGTGGGAGGGAAGGAACGGGGAGGGGAAAGGAAAGGGGAAGTGTGGGGGAGACAGAACAGGTTCTGATTCCAGTTCTCTTGGTGGCCTCTACACCCCTACTCTCCCATGACTGGAGAAGTTTTCTGAGAAATCTCCCCACCCACCCACCTCCCACCCCAATTTTTTTTTTTTTTTTACTAAGCCAATTGGCATTGAGTTTCTATCTGAAAAACACAAGGAAGTTCCAGGAAAAGCCTGAGAAGGCCTGGCGGGCTGAGGATTCAGCTCGTATGAGCTAGTATGGGGGAAAGCTGGAAGAGTAGAGTAAAAATCCAGGAAGAAATTTGCATCCAGGAAAGGAGATGAAAGAGTTAACCTAGTTGGATCCCAGAAGAGCCTGACAGTTTCCTGACCTCATTCACTGCAGGTTCCAAAGGCCAGGCTTCCCCTGGGCTGGCTGCCCCCTCCTACCCACAGGGTCAGACCTGGCTCATGGGCGGATGGGCCTCTGTGCTCCCCTGGCCTCCCTCCCCCAGGCTCAGGTGCCTGCTTGTGCATCTCCCCTGGTCTCAGAGTCACCTCCATCCTCAGCAAGGACCTCACTTGGCCACTTAGCTCCTCTCTCCTCCACCTTCAACCTCTTCCCCTCTTCTGGCTTCTTCTCCCACATAAAAACCTGCTTGACTCCTGTCAAAAATCTCTCCCCTTTTAACCACTAACATGTTTCCTTCTGCTCATTTGCTGGTTGAAGGCATCATTTCCAGGCTGTGGCCATCACTCTCTTGCCCCTAACTCCCTGCAGCTTGGCCCTGGGCCTCCAAACTCCAGAAAATCCTGAAGCCAGCAGCCCGGGGCAGTGTCCTGTGGCTGACCGTTGGCTGTTCTCCCACCTCCAGAAAGAGTAGGGAAGAAGGAACAGCCTCAACTAAGCCTAAATGAGGAGGGAAGGGCCAAATGAAGGCAGTGCTAAAATCTGAATGCTTAAATCCAAAGACGGGATGTGGCAGGGGAGGTGATGCGGCAACCACAAGCCTTTGCTGAGGTTGGTGGTTGAAGAGGGAAGTAGGCAGTGGCAGGCACTCCAATAGAAACTCATCAAAGGCACAGGAACTCCCCTAATATGAGCAGAGTGTCTTAGTCTGTTTTGTGCTGCTGTAACCGAATACCACCAACTAGGTTATTGAGATGTACTCTCATTTCATCATCCAGGCCAGAGTGTAGTGGCACCATCTCGGCTCACTGCAACCTCCACCTCCTGGGTTTAAGCGATTCTCCTGCCTCAGTCTCCTGAGTAGCTGGGATTACAGGTGTGAGCCACCATGTCCAGCTGATTGTATTTTTAGTAGAGACGGGGTTTCACCATGTTGGCCAGCTGGTCTAGAACTCCTGACCTCAGGTGATCTGCCTGTCTTGGCCTCCCAAAGTGCTGGGATTACAGGTGTGAGCCCCCACCACACCTGGTGGTAATTTATTTTATTTTTCCTTCCCCCTCCCACCCCACCTGGTGGTAATTTATAAGAAGTGGAAATGTGTTGGCTCATGGTTCTGAAGGCTGGAAAGTCCAAGATTGAGGGGCCAGCGTCTGGCCAGAGCTTTCTTGCTGCATCATTCCATGGTGAAAAGGTAAAGAGAGAGCAAGAGGTTGAACTCACAGCCTCAAGTCCTTTTATAATTCACATCAATCCATTCATAAGGGTGGAGGCCTCATGAGATAAACACCTGTCATTAGGCCTCCCCTCCCAAGACTGTTGCCCTGGGGATTACATTTCCAACACATGCCTGTGGGGGACCCATTCAAATCATAGCACGGCAGCATCTTCTCTTTCCTTCCTGTGGTAGGCTGAATAATGACCCATAAGGATATCCAAGTCCTGATCTCTGGAACCTGTGAATGTTACCTTCTGTGGCAAAAAGGACTTTGCAGAAGTGATTAAGAATGTAGAGAGGGAGGCATTGTCTTGGATTATCTGAGTGAGCCCTAAATACAATCACAAATGTCTGTGTAAGAGAAGACAGAGGGAGATATGACACAGAAGGCAGAAGAAAATGGAAGCTGAGAGAGATTTGAAGAGGTTTCACTGTGAGCTTTGAAGATGCAAGATGGGACTCTATGACCCAAGACATGCCGCTCCAAAAGGTGGAAAAAGCAAGAAAACCAGTTCCCCCTCAGAGCCTCTGGAGAGTGTGCAGCCCTGCCGGCACCTGGGTTTTGGCCCGGTGAAATAGATTTTAAATTTCTGGTCTCCAGAACTGTAACTATAAGAGAATAGATTTATGGTTTGTTTTTTTTTTTTTTTTGAGACGGAGTTTCGCTCTTGTTACCCAGGCTGGAGTGCAATGGCGCGATCTCGGCTCACCGCAACCTCCGCCTCCTGGGTTCAGGCAATTCTCCTGCCTAAGCCTCCTGAGTAGCTGGGATTACAGGCACGTGCCACCATGCCCAGCTAATTTTTTTTTGTATTTTTAGTAGAGACGGGGTTTCACCATGTTGACGAGGATGGTCTCGATCTCTTGACCTCGTGATCCACCCGCCTCGGCCTCCCAAAGTGCTGGGATTACAGGCTTGAGCCACAGCGCCCGGCCGATTTATGTTGTTTTAAGCTACCAAGGTTGTGGTGATTTGTTACAGTAGCCAGGGGAAATGGGCGCAGAAAGCCCCATCTGGTGATGAGGAAGCAGGTGCCAGGAAGCAGGGTGCTGCTATAAAAAAGGAAAATCTAGGCTGGGCACAGTGGCTAGTGCCTGTAATTCCAACACTTTGGGAGCCCAAGGTGGGCGGATCACTTGAGCCCGGGAGTTCGAGATCACCCTAGGCAACATGGCAAAAACCCATCTTT